TTAGCCTAATGAGACTATCACAAGTTAAGATTACCAACAAATAATACTGATAACTGAACAGTCTCTGATAGTCTGCAATAAACCAAAAAACACGTTCACATGTTGCAAGAGCCGTCAAGCACACTTTAGAGGCTCTTCAATGGGATATTCCATTCATTCCCCCGTCCAACTCTCATTGGCCATTCACTTCTCATTAAGAAGTGATAGAAAATTGATTCTGAAGTCGCCTCAAGAGAGGGAAAAACACGAAATCCGAATGCTGTCTGATAGACATATTTATCATATATAGCTCAAGATATATTAAACCCAAAAAATGTCTCCTAAGCAACATTCTTTCAAGTTACAGTTAATATGAGAGTGCGAGCAAAAAAGCTTTGGTCAAAGTCCAAGAGCAACAGGCACGAGTTCTACAGCTGTTGCTGCCGCTGCTGCCATTGTTGCTGTGTCTTGGCCAATTGTTACCGGAAGCTTTTGCTGTGGTTTATGTTTATATGCGGTGGCCAATTAAAGTGCGGTGGCAATGTCAATGGCAGGCGATTGTATCGGCGGACGTGCTGGAAAATCCAAAGGTTTTTCAAAAGCCAGTTCATTCACTTTGTGCATTGTCTCTAAGCTAGGTTCTTTTATTTTGGCTAAAACACTTAACACTAAAATTAAATATGTTATTGATAGGCATATATAAACGAGTATGTAGGCAAGATCACAATTCGAGCTTCAGTTTTAAGGCGAGCGCTGCTCTCGTTAGGCTCTCACGTTCTGCTTAATCCAGATGTCGTAGGCCGCGACGCTAGTGTAGACGCCCGGCCAGTCCTTCAGGCCGCACTTGTAGCCAAATGAGACAATGCCCTCCAGCACCCAGGCATTGTCACGGAAACGCAACAGCGGTCCGCCGGAGTCACCGTCACAGCTATCCTGTGCATATTTCCCGCCCGCACACATCTGGGTGGGCATTATGCTGATCTTACGCTCCGAAAATTTGCGTTTACACTGCGCCGGCTCCACAAAGCTAACGGCAAGCTTCTGCTTGATAGGACTGCGTGCTGTTTGCAGTGTCCGGCCGTAGCCGACCACCGTATACTGTTGTCCGGCACGCTTCGTTTCCGGCGCCACCACCGAGGGCAGGCAGGCTGGCTGTATGTTGTTTGAGTAGCGCACATTCCGCTCCAGCCGCACCAGGCCGATGTCGTGCAGCTGATTCGGCGTCTTCTCCTTGTACAGCTCATGGACGCGCGTCTCCTCAACAGCCAAGCGTTGTGTGGCCGGCGCACAGGCGCCGCCGCCAACGGGACAATCGACTGCAGTGCGCGTATCGTGCTCGCCCAGACGCGCCGAGGCACTAAAATAAAATAAAGCACAAAAAAAAGTGAAATAACAAATTAAGTAATAAAATGAAATTTATAAAATTAAGTTTAAGCATGGGGCGCGCTTGTTTAGCAGGAAATCAGATATATTGCTAATTGAATTTAAAAAGTGCGAACGGGTCAGCCGCCAAACACCCAGCGCAAAACAAAAGTCAAGCCAAAAGCAGCCGGTCGGGTAAATTGAGAGCGCAACGAATTGTTAGCCACTTTGAACCGACGTTCCATGACACCTGCACCCCGCCATCACCTCCACACCCCGTCCCAACCAGCTCTCCTGCCAAAAACACCGAACCGAACCCAACCCAAAGCAAGATTTCAATGAATCACGTTAATAAGGCAACAGCAACAGCAGAAGTAGCTAAACGCTTTGAATCTGGTTTGGCCAACTTAATTAATATTCTTAAACATTTAGAAAACAATAATCGGAGCGTCACACACCCCAAAAAAAAATCCAAGCAGCTAGCTGGAGTCCCCCTTGACGCCTAATTAGCTGCCTGGAAATCGCAGTTCAATTCGCAGAAACGCGTGAAATTTTTACTTATGATTAAGCATTGCGAACTTTCGTTATGGCTAACGGAAACTAGATAACCTGTTCCTAACTCAATTCTACTTACAGTGGTCCAATTTCACGCACGATTCTTCCGACTAGACAGTGGGCCGCAGTTAGCACATAGCGCTGATTTATTAAGGTGCCCGCACAGCTCGTCGAGAGTCCGTTGCCGGCAAGGCGTCTGTACTCGAGCAGCACCATCCAGGGGAATTCGTTGAGATCAGCATCCTCGCCGCCGTAGATCTTGTTGTCAATGGTGACGCCGCCGCATGCAGGCGGCTGTGGCAGCAAACCTGAGCCATCCACCTGCTGTGGCTGGCGCCGACCCTGACCTCGCGTGCTGCTGTCGGCGCTCTGCTCCTCGCCAAAGCTCCAGGGCCGACGATCGCTGGGAAAGAGCTGTGTAGTGGGCGCTGGCGTATTGGGCGCACGATTCCAACCGAAATCGTAGCCCTCGCTGAGATCACTGAAGTCCGCATAGTCGGCAAAGTTGGGCGTCACACGGCGACTGCGCGTATAGCCCGTATCACCAGTGCAGCAGACAAATGGACGATTATCCTGACCTATGCCGCAGCTTGACTCCCTGATGAACTGCTTCTCCGTGGCCGACAGAGTCGACTGCTGCAGCACCGAATACAAAGTCTGGCACTCATTTATCTGCACACAAAGGCCGGCACGCTGATTGGGATTGATGCAACGCGCGTCTGCAAGAGGCACAGAGAGAGAGAGAGAGAGAGAGAGAGAGCTAGAATCAGAGACCTGGTTTATGGGGGGAAGCACACAACGCAAGCATGAGAACTGACAGCGACATTCCAGTGGTTCATCTACCTGACTAAAATACCCCTGTCATTGTAATATTTATGTATGAAAAGTAGACAATGTATGTCTAAGATATGGTCTAGTTTAGAAGAGGTGAGTTACTTTGAAATTCTGCTTCTGCCAGATGCCTTGTTGTCATATAATTTTGTTGCTCACAAATTGCCTAATAACATTTCTAAAATATTTTGTAAGAATTTTGGAAATTTTATAGCTAAAATTTCTAAATAAAAATATTTTTATAATTTTTAAAAAGCACATTTAAGCACATTGATTTAACACAATTTAACAATTTTAAAATATCAAATATATATATATATTTTTTAATTGATAGTAAACTTCAAAAAAATATTATTTAAAATTTTTTAAAATATTTAATGAAATAAATTTAATGAAATTAAAATATTTAAAAATGTCAAATATATTTTTTTATATATTTAAAAATATCAGTCAACAATTTGAGCAAAACTTTCTTATTTTTGACAATATTTTAAATAAAGCTCAAAAATAAGTAGCTTAAATATGTTTGAGAATATTAAATTGCTTTTAAAAAATATTTCGAAAAAATCCTAATCAAAATATTAGCTTTTACACAAAGCCCTAAATGAAAATGAAAGCATCAGATTAAGTCGAACTTTTATATAACCTTGATATACCAAAATATTTGAACAATTCTCACTCACTTATAATATTTGTTTGATATTTTAAGCAGTTCAGAAATAAGCTATATTTACAGTAAAACGAAACGTTTTATTAACTAAATTGAAGCAAATGAATTTTTTTAAAGTTGCATTGAACTTGGCACGCGCTGGTGCTTAACAGTCTTTAGCGACTGGTTGAAAACCGGCTATAATTATTATTTAATTATGCACTTTTTTGTTAAACAAAGCACTTTCTTGGTACTAAGTGTGTATTAACGAAATCCCAAAAAGATTTTGTGGTTTTCATTTGTCACTTACAACGCGCTTTTGTGTTATCCGCAGCCAAAATACACAGCAATAGCACAAACAATTTCATTATTATCAAATTAACAGAAAATACTTTAAGAAATTATGAACATTTAAATATGAGATATATATATATTTATTAAAATGTCCGCCGAACTAGACGCTTGAAATGAAACTGTGAGCTGTTGCCTGTTGAGGCAGAGTTTTTATAGCTGCGATCGGGTTTAGCTGAGAGCTAAAGCAACAAGAACGAGCCGCATACGTGAGTTTTGTGAGAACCGGTGTTAAGAGCTCGCAAACAAGCGGAGCATCGCTCACAGCTTAATCAGCAGCTAAAATCGAGCCACAAAAGGGGTTTAACTTGTGGTTGAAGCATTTACTATTCGCCTAATGGCAGACAAATTATCTAACAAGATATGCTAGAGCAGTATATATAAATATATATACATATATATATATATATATTTAAATGGATAAATGCATGTCACTGGGTAACACTGAATAACATTAGAAGAGACTTCTATGCTTTTGGGGAAAAATCTCATAAATATTGACAGCTCGTACAATGAACTTAATGTCAAGTCAATGAAATCCGTGTGCTACGTCACAAATGTGACTGTTCAGCTAAAATTCCGGCTAATTGATACAAAAGTTGCTCTGTTTCGTTTACTCACCTGGCTAGCAATTAAATTAGTTCTTAAACCAAGCATTTGTCATGCAAAATCGATTAAAATCAATGAAAGTTCATATGCCAAATATTAGCTGTAATGAAGAGAGAAAAAAGTAACAATGTTTTCTCTTTGTTTTCTCGCCGGGATTTGCCAGATTTGCATTTGTCAATTTATAATTACTAACGCGAACGGAACTGTCCTACACAGTACGTTCTCGTAACAAGTTCCTAATGCGTGTTTAATCTGACGACCTGACCTGTCATAGCTCTAAAATTTCCATTTCAGTTGACTCAGCTGCAGAAAAAAATTTAAATAGCCAAAGAAAAATCACATTTCATATAATATATTTTACGATATTTTACATACATTAATTAAATATAATATATAGGTCTACAAAGAGTGCTTTTAGAGGCTGACAGCTTTGAGCTCGAAATTTAGCTGTATTTGACAGCCCATTTCATAGCAGATAGTGACTTTTTATTAAGTTTAGTTTGACATTTTATATCATTTAAACAAAAATGTCATTAAATTTGATATCAAATAATGTTTATTTTATTGATATTACAAATATATTTAACAAAATAATTGTTATAATGAATATCATACAACAAATATATTTTATTTGAATAAAAAGTTTAATTTATGATTCATAGCTTTGATTTACTAAAGAACTCAAAGGTGTCCAGTATATTTGATTTGTATTTCATTTATGTAATATATAAATTGATATACATATTGATTACTTGAATCACAGATTGATTCATGATTAAAGCATTGATGTGCATTTTTTTGTAATTTTAAAGCTTAAATTAGCTAAACTTGATCGAAGAAAAGTCGGTGAATGCCAACGACCAGTGAGCCAACGACTTTATATCCTATATATGATGTATATTTTTTCATTTTTCCACGAAGATCTAAAGAATGAACTTAATGTTAATGATAATTATTGCTGTAATTATTATAAATCATGTGTTTTAAAATTTCAAATAAATATTCCTAATAATTTAAAAAATTTTTATTATCAATAATTTTCTAATATATTTTCATACACAGAGAAACTATTATTCTATAATATATATTTGTTTGACGCAGCGTGAAATCTCAATCCGGATCGACTTGCCAAGTTTTCTTAATCATATTCTATAAGTGGGGTCTAGACGTTTATAAATATAATTTCAACTGAATATGTCCATTAGTCACTTTATATAGATCTGGATGCGTAACTTCTAGCTTTATAAATCTTAAATTTAAAGCGAATCGTAACTTCTGGTAAAACTGTTATAGAATTATACAACTTTAAGTTTAATTCTATAAATTGCTTGATTGGTATTTTAGTTCTTAAGAATATTCAAATTATGCTTTAAGCTAAATTTGTTAGATATGGGTTCACGCCTTTTGCCTTTCCAATTAGCTTCCACACAAAGCTATAAAAAACATTAGATAAGTTGTGCTGCTTAACATTCGATTCATTTATTCGCCCCGCGGCGAGGACAGTTCCATGGAACCGCAGAACCCTTTAATTTCCTGTCGCTTTTCCTTTCATTTTATTCCCAAATTGGACCGACCACGACGGGTTACTAACAAGATCAACGTGTTACCGTAGAAAGGGTTCACATAGAGTTAACTAAGCGCACGCGGGAAATGTCAACGCCAGATAAACGTCTGTGCCGGAAAATGGGCGTGGGGATGCTCTAATTAAGCGCGAAATATTCCTACTGCTAATGCAAAGCAGCTTGCAACCACCCGAAAAAAAATAAAAAGATTTCCACTTGACAGCGGTGGGATTCGAACCCACGCCCTTTCGGACTGGTGCCTAAAACCAGCGCCTTAGACCGCTCGGCCACGCTGCCATATGATGTGCGCGTGATTTCAAGCACACAACTTTCACACAACATATTCTGTAATGAAAATGTTCTATTCGAAACCAAACATTATCTTTACTATATGTACTTTTGTACAAAAGCTTTATCCACATGTAAATCTAATGATAAACTAACTACCCGATTTGTATAAATCTATTATGGCCAAAATTTATGTTCTAGAATTTTAATTAGCATTAACAATCAAAACCTGATATTTAAATTTCTTTCAAGCATTTACGAGAATCTATTCAAAGTCGGTTATATACAATACAAAAAATAAGAGAATGCTTCCACAAAGCATATATACTGGCTTGCACATTCTCTCATACACATTCATATATATATATATATATTCAGTTTAATAAAAATAAAAAAATTGTCTACATACATAAATAATACGTTGGAAATATATTAAAATTAGAAATATAATAAAAAAAATTAAACCTTTGTGACAGCGGTGGGATTCGAACCCACGCCCTTTCGGACTGGTGCCTAAAACCAGCGCCTTAGACCGCTCGGCCACGCTGCCTTGTTTCGGACTGTGTCAAATATTCAACTTGAATGCGCAGCACAACTCAGTCGTCTGATATTAAAATGTTGGTCTAGTTTCGGGGATGATTTGCACGAGTGTTGCCGAAGTACATTTGTAAAAAGTAGTAGACAACCAAATGTAGTAGTATGAACTGTCACTTGCTGCTGTTGAGCAGCAGCAAAATAAATGTGATATTAGATACAATTCTGATTCCTTTGTGAAGTGAATTGAATAATAAATTGAATAATGCTTTCGTTTAATAATAAATACATTTAAAATGTAAAATTAAAATTATAAAATGATAGATAAATACGCTTTTTACGATAATTATATTTATTAAATAAAGTTTTTTATTTAAAATTATATATTGTACCTATTTGGTATATATAAAATATATTTGATAACTATAGAAACATTTGGAAAAAACAGCATATAAGATTTTATGAAAGCTGAGAACCAAAAATTTCCTATCACTAAATTATGAGCAAGTTAGTTAAGTAATAGTAGCCAAGAACTATAAAAAATAGTAACCGAGTAATAACAATGTCAAAAACACTTTTTATGACTCAGCATTCGCATCACAGCGATTCTAATTCATTGACAAACGCATTTGATTTTGCGATAATGAGCCGGGCATAAGGTCGCTGTAGTCCGGACACTTTGAGATACAGATGCAAACGTTTAGCTACCTTCTGTCACCCGACGCCCTTTGAGGTCGGCAATTTCTGGCCGCACACCCCGTTGTTTTGTTGTTATTTTACGATTTGTGCATTTCGCAAATTCGCAAGCAAAATAAAAAACGAAAACGAAAACGAGAACGAAAAAAAAGGTTTCCCTTAATATATTTTATAGCATTTTTATGACGATATAGTTTACTATTTTGCTTCTATTTCTTCTTCTTCTGTTGGATTTACGAGCGTTTTATAACTTGTTTACATTAGGCAAGTGAGTAACGGTAACCCTGGGAAGCATTTTATGCAAAAATCTATTAAAACGCTGGCGAGCTGCATAAAAATCACAATAAATGTGTCTTAAACGGTTCATAACACCGCCACCACAGGGATTACGCCAGTGCGACTTGACTTTGCCCCACTCCACTTAACATTGCTGCGCCTCCAATTGGGTTTGCAGTTTGAGCCAAGCGTTGCCAATGGCCCGTGAAAATTGTAGCTGCAAAAATGTCACATGAAGACTTCTGCGGCTCAGTTCAGCTGACAAAATGATAGCTCTCACATCAGCTTTAATTGTGTTCACAATATATTCGATGCAGCCTGCCGAACAGACGAAAATTGTGAATAACATCGAAAGGACAATGAGCCGGATGGCGCACAATATGGAATTTCCGCCAAATAATATTAAACCTGAACTATCCAATACTATCGGAGAATACTTTGTAAGTATTCAGCTCAGCCCTTTACATAATATTGTTTTGCTAATTTGTAATTTTAGGTCGATTTTAGCTCGTACATCAAGAACATAACGAAGAAATATTTACAAGAGATCCATGTGATAAGTGGACAGAATTATTCAATATTTTTTGAGCTTTCACGAGCGAAGACAAAACTAAAGTAACCTCATAAATTCAATAAATTACTAACTAAAAAATAAGAATTAATTAAAGAAATTTTATAATAAAATGCAAAAATATATATCTTAAAAAATGAAATAAAAAATAAATTAAAAAATCAATTAACAACCAAATATATATAACAATTATAATATTATAATAAAGTACAAAATATAAAAAAAAAATTTATGAATGTAAGATAAATCAATAATTTTAAAAAAATTAAGGTAGACATAATTACAAAAAAAACCTATAAAAATTAAATATAAAAAAATATAAAAATGAACATTTTAAAATTCAAATAAAAATAAATATATAACATATATAAATTACTATAAAAAAGACAAAAATATAAAAATAAATATAAAAATTATAAATATTTTAATAAATGTGAATAAACCATCAGTTATCAATGCAATTCAAATATATTTAACAAAATTTTAAAATAAAATAATATACAAAAAAAAAACAATTTGAAAATAAAAAATGAATAAACAATTTTAAAAATCAATTGTAGACCGAAGTACTTAACTTAATTAAAAGTATAACGAATGAAAATTTACCGGAAAAAAGAGAATTTGCTAAGCTTACTAAAAAATTGAATAACATTTTGTTAAAAAAAGTGGAAGACTATTTTAGTAAACACAGAATGTTTAAGCTGATGTACATAGTTCTCCTAATGGAGCTGATTTTTATTACAGATGCACGCAAACTCGACAGCAGCAGCTTACAGGAATTTATTAACACAGTCGTATGTTTTCTTTGATACTTAACTATAATTGCAATTTTTATGAAATAAAGAATTTTTCTTCATTCCTAAATTAGAGAGCGTTTAATGATTTAATGAAGACAACAACCACCGAAAAAAGTACAGCATTTACTATCAAACCTCAAGATAATGTCATCATTAATTTAAAATACTATACACCAGAATCAGGCCGAAAGTTCAAGCATGGTAAAGTGACACAAAGAACATCGAAAAGCAAAACAAGAAAACAACCAGAATACTATTTGAATTTTCAGTTTAACGGCTATAAGAACCCAAAGCCAGAAAATGTGACAGAACATATTCGAAGGAAAACTATCAAAAATCTGTATAATCGATTTCCACTTAAGGCCGAAGATGTGAGGCATTAACAAAGCAACCACTTTATGTGTTAATAAACGTTTTATAAATGAAACCAGCTCTGAAAAATAATAAAAGATATATTAAAAAAAATTTAATTTTAAATCATATTTACTAAGTCTAAGTCCTTAGTACCTGAGCCCATTTACAATGTGTTAAATGATGTCTTATGGCTTTAGTCAACACATATCACATTTATTTATATCACATATCAGAGTAACACTAATTTTTTATATTTTCCCAAAATCTATTTATATGTTCTTGAATATCTATTTTGTCATCTTCAAAGTAAGCCTCAGCACTTCAAAACATCCTGTTCAGTTCCTCCCTCGCTGCCGTCTTTAGCTCCCTAATTGCATCAAGTTGCCCAAGTATGATCGAGTCCATAAACTGAATATATTTATGCTCAGCAAACGAACGGCCAGAAGAACATGACTATATGCAAGCAACTCGTCGTCTTGATCACGAATATATATACTTATATATACACGCCTCCTTCTGCCTGTTACATTCATTTTCACAAATCCATTATACCCTTTTTCTATGTGGTCAGGGTATAAGAAAAATGATTCACTTGCTGCTAGAAAAATTTAAGTTTTTTAAAGTTCAACATAAAAATGCTTATCAATAAGCCACGAAAGCAATAGTAAACTGGACTTAAGTGCACGATTATACATTTCAACTGAAATCAACCATTTGGAAACACATCAACAAACTTATCTTTGAATATGTGACTACAATAAATTTGGTACTTTGGGTACAGTTGATGCTAAAATTATATACATTTTTATTTCTATTTTCAATTCGATATTTAATATAGAAAACTCTGATTGAAGTAAAACAAATAAATCTACTTTTTTAAATCTACTTGTTTTTGCTTCCCATATTGTATAGTTGATATTGTTGATAATTTGTGTTTCTTAAGTGACTAACATTGACATTTCCTAAAATAAACAAGCATATAGTATATTACCAGACGTAGATGTTGTCTATATTGAAGTGAAGACAGACGTTATCGGTAAATAAATTCATAAAATCGATCGATAATTTATCATGCCACTGTCACTTGCCACTGTGATTTGCTGTTCATTGCATTCATATAAATAACAGGCAGGTGACACTGAATCATTAGTCAGAAAGCCTAACTAAAAGTAGTAACATGAAGTTCATAGTCTTTGCATTGTTGGCCATAGGCCTGGTTAGCCAGCAGGTCCTGGCACGAAGCCCATTTGTCAAAGATATCCATAATGCAGCCGACAGCATCGCTAACTCAGCAGACGATATGGCGCACAGCATCGCTAACTCGGCTTCCAACGCCGGTCATAACATCGCTAACTCGGCAGTTAATGGAGCCGATGACATTGCCTCCGCAGGTGTTAACTTTGGCAAAGATGTCGCAGACGATGCGCATCACATTGCTCACTTTTTCTGAGGAGCACTCAAATTGGTGGAGCTGAAGGAAGCAAAAATTGTTGGAATTTATTAACAAACATAAATATATAAAATTTTAATAAATCTCTTGCAAAGCAATTTATGAGAAACACTGTTTATGCCTTGTCTACCCCCTTATACCCGGTATAGGTAAATGTGAGCAGCTCTTGATCATTTAAATTGGGTTCTATGTGAGCTAATTTTCTTTACAAGCAAAGCTACAGCTGTTACAGATTATTAAAAAATGTACTATATTCTGTAAATTAAAAATTATCATATATTTTGATTGGCTACCTCTTCTCTTTAGAGACTTGCAGTAGACTTATAGATTTTAGTTTGAACAAGTTTCTCGCATGGCACATACAATTAGTCTTTAGATTATCAATGGCTTTCCAGATTTCTCAAAATCGATAAATATCGATTAATATTTGTTATGTGTGTCATTATTCGTGAATTGTAGCTAGAAGAACATATTTGTATGTGTATTGCATTTATTATTGGTTAATGCAATTTTTAATTGAAGTTTGAAAAGGTAAATTCAGTTAACTGATTGACCTTAAGCTTAAAATAAAGTTGCTATAATTTCTGCATTGAACATATAGTTTAAAATAGCCAAACATAATAAAAGACTAAGTCAATAATAATAATCAATTAAGAATCGATTGGTATTTCAAACTATGCCAAGTCTCAAAAATGTTAAGAATCATAGACACCCAGCTTTATATGATTTTGTATAGTATCTAGAGGCCCATATTTCTGTTAATTCTGCTTGAACATATATAAATTTTGCTTACAAACATATTATAAATAAGCAGGAAAAACTCTTAAATGATAATCAAGATTGTATCTTCGAAAATACATTCCAATAGAATTACTTATCAGATAATTAATGTCCAAAAATATCCCAAAGCAAATTAGCCAATTATAAATTGAAAAGAAGAAAAGTATGAATTAAAATTTGATCGCCGATAATTTTGTTTATTTTATGAAAAAATGACAACAAATTGTGTTAGTGGGAATTTTTTTGAATGAAAAGACAATACGTCTTGCTCTAGATAAAGGCCAGGCCACATTAACAAACGTTAACACACCGAAAATTCCCTAGATAATGATCGGTAGCCATAGTCTGGCGATAAGCATATCGCAATTTATCGAATTTCGCTTGCCCATAAATACGACCTGTAGTTCGCAAATATCGTTAGTTATAATTATAATTTCTTGGGTATAACATATATAAAGATATCTTATAGGAAGTCTCTCTCTCTCTATGAAGTCAATCATTATCGTTGCCTTGTCGCTGGCTCTGTTGGGTCTGCAGGATGTGAGCGCCAGAAGCATATTCGACGATCTTGGCCAAGAGTTTGTAGGTGTTACATGCATAAAGAACAGCCCAAAGTAAGTCGTAATTGTCAACTGTCTTCATTTCCAGGGCAATTTTGGTAACGCCATTGGCAAGGAAGCCTCAGCGTTTGGCAATGCCATAGGCCAAGCAGCCTCCCAGTTCGGCAACAATGTGGGCCAAGCTGCTAATAATCTGGGCAATGCTGTGAGCAACAGTCAGCTGGGACAGGACGCCTCCAACTTGGGCAACTCAATTGGCAAGGCGGCCTCCAACTTTGGCCATGATGTGGGCCAAGACGCTGGCGATTTGGGCCATATCATTGCATCGAATGCATCCAATATGGCTCATGATATTGCCTCAGGCGCATCCAATTTCGGCCATGACGTGGCAACTGGTGCATCCGATTTCGGCCATGACGTGGCATCTGGTGCGTCCAGTCTTGCGCACGACATCGCCAATAGCTTTGATTCCGCTAAGAACACTGCTTCCAATGCAGCCAACAATGTTGCTTCCGGTGCTTCCAATGCAGCCAACAATGTTGCTTCCGATGCTTCCAATGCTGCCAATAACTTTGGCAACGCAGCTTCCCATTTTGCCTTCAATGGGGCTAATTTGCTATAAAAAGCTGCCAAAACAATTTGTAATCAATAAATGATATAAAATTATTTTAATTAAAACTTTTATTTTGTGTGCCTGAAAATATTTTAAAATTTTGTAATTTTATTTATGTTTTATATTATATAACTTATTTAAACGGCGGCCATTTAGTTGAGCCATTTAAAGTCTGAGGCACCTGAATTTACTCGTATCTAATAATTGTGATTCATTTTAATGCTCTGTTCGCTAGCTTCAGTAGAGTATATTGGTTTTTGCTGTGGAAAGAATTCAAATTTGACATATATTTAATGTATTTATCAGATTTGCAGATCTAAAATGATGCATAGCATTTTGGATACTTCCAATCAATAGTTTAGGGCTTATAGTTATACAACTGATAAGCCCACAATCCACACAACACTTCTACGACTACTTTAAGCTCTTTCACGCATTACACACCCTGCCTACTTGTTTTATCAAAATAGTTAATATGAAGAAAAGCCCCAAAACTTAACATTCATCGCAGTCCGATTACAACTTCAGACATCAATCAGCGCGTACCGCCAATTTCGTATATGAATTATTAGCCATTTGAGTGTAAGTATGTCGACTTACAACAATTTTTACTACGTCTCAGCAACTTAGACAGATAAGATGCCTAGTTGATGGGTATATAAATCATGCTGCTCAAATCAAAGCAGTTAACAACTAAAATCCAAACAAGCAATATGCAAGTCAAAATTGTTGCCCTCTTGGCCGTGGTGTTGGTGGCACAACAAGTCGACGCTGGCACCATTAACTTCGGTGATCTAATGGGCGATGTCTCTAAGGTGGCCGTGGCTGGCGAGAAAGTGATTCATCAGCTGGAGAATCAGTTGAGCGCGCAGTCAGATGTGGAATATGTAAAGCCCGAGACCTTAAATTTGCTAAGTGATATGGCCAATGGATTGGGCGATCTGGCTGTACGTATGAACTCTATAATCTTGAAGAGAGCTTTTAATTTTGATTATTTATTTTATATATATGTTATAATTGATACGTTATAAATTTTTATTTGTATTCTATATCAAAGACATGTTCGTTAGATCAGCTATCTTTCTAAATACCAACTCCCTAAATTGAAGTTTGCCGCTTCAAAGCAATAAGCCAAAGAAAAGATTTTTTCTATAGTTCCCAGCATACCATAAAATATTATAATATCGCAATCAATCAAATATTATTGGATTGTATTTACTGTAATACAATATATATATATCCAATTACATCCAATTACCAACACATCTTCATCTTGTCGTAATCCATTATAATTTTTATATATATATTAATACAAAATGTTGTCCAAGATTATATCGAATTCAATTTTCTAAAATGTTCATATATTTGCGCCATATATTTCTACTCTAGAATGCCCTGACCAACTTACGAGCTCAGCGTGATTATGTTCAGCCGGAGCCAAGGAATCTTATTGGCAGTCTTATGGGTGATATGGGCAATGCGTTCGGTCATTTGGCTGTAAGTTGAAAAGAAATTCAAATTGACTAGCTATAACACCAATACTCCATCAATAGAACACGATTACCAGCCTCAGTGTGGAGATTCAGGCAATGCCCAAGACGCGCAGCGTTTCAGTAAGCATCAACATGAGCTTAACTTAAGTTATTTTAGCTAACTTGATTTTTATTTAACTCAGTCCTCTGGTGCTTCGATAATTGGTGAGCTTGGCGTAAGTACTTACCACGTGCCCAACATTAATAAACAAATCCATTTTTTTCCACTTTTCATTTATTTTATTATTCATTATTTATAGGGTCTGAGCGCTCAGGCCATCGCATCTGCTGCTCATGCTGCAGCACCCTACGTGAAGCAACTGAACAATGCTCTCGGGGATCTTGCTGTGAGTTCCACATATCCACTTCATTTGGAACTGAACTAATTACTTTGAACCATTACAGAACTCCCTAACCCATCTATAAATTGAAGAACATGGAACAGAACGCTTTTGTATTCTGTATCTTTATACTCGCATGCACATAATCAATCAATTTGTAACTTTAATTAAGAGAATCCTGAACTTTCTGAACTTTACACACAATCTGTAAAAAGCCATTGTCTGGCATTTGATATTTTGAAATCTAAGAACTGTAGTCAAGGCCAATTTCCAAAGGCCTTTGCTTCAATAAAATCTATTTTTGCTCTGACTGATCTGAGTGGAACATGGGCAGGCTGCAAATGCGTTAACCTAGAATTCCAATTCTGTTTCCCAATAGTATTAGAAGATCAAATTACCTGAGAATCACCAATGCATACACTGAGCTAAGACAAGTTGATACAATTTTTAATAATAAAAATTAAATTGGAGTATTGAAGTCGGAGTCAACCGACTGCCGAATACCCGTTAAAAGCTTAAAAGCAGAGAAATAATTCACGACTTACTCCGATTTGCCCAATGACTATTTTAGTCACTTTAACTAACAAATAAATTGTTGAAAGCTTACACAATAATTTCTTTAAAAACATAAAAATAAAAATAATTAAATCGCGATCAGGAATATAAAATAAAAGACAGACCTGTAATAAAGCAGTTATAGCCTCTGCCAGGCCAACGAAATAATCTTTTGTCTGATCTTCGCTTCTCTATATAATTTTATTTATTTCTTACTTTGCCTACAGCGCCGTTTATAGGGCTTTGCCGCAGTCGCAGATGCTCGTGCTGCGGAAATTGGGTCATCTCAAGGGGTGAGTCGTTATAGAGACGATCGGATCGGAAGACAGCGCCGAGGGGAAAGCTACTCATAAACGTTGCATGGCACATTCATAAAAATACTTTAATGTGTGTGTGACTGGCTTTTGTCGGTTGTTGTAGGTGTTATTAAGTCAGTTTATTGAGCGGCAAATTTCGTTTGTTTTGGCAACAGGAAAATTGGATATTTACGTCCAGCCAACCAATATGCATAGGCGCACGATGTTCCCAAAGAGTCGTGCACGCCGCCGACTGTAATTATGAACAATTTTTACAAGCATTTTGTTAATTAATTTTGGCAGCTCAAAGCAGTAGAGAAGAAGAAAAATATGAAAACCCTTTTGTATGCACGCCCACACAAGCCAGCGTCGCATATTTATGAACTATTTCAAATATATATAATTTGATATCAATTAAAATTCAGCAGCCATAGCAGCTACTAGGCACGACTCCACACACTCCCACACACACACAGTGCGTGCGACCAAGAAATTATAACAACATTTAATTTTTTAGACATAATAAAAAAGCATTATTAAATGCTGACAAAACAAGAAAAAATAATAATTAATTGTCACATCGTGTTGAAGGCACATTTATTGCAGTTTCAGCTCTGAATTCCATAAACCCGTTTCGTGGGTGCCATTAAATGATCAAATTAAGTACATTTTACAGATTGAGTCGGTCAACTATTCGCGAGGGCACACATTGCACACAGTCGGATGCAGCTGACTGCATGATACCCTAGCTACTTAGAAGTAGCTAAGCTTATTTCAAATAATATTATTTTTGACAGTAGCAACAGCAATCCATCTCCCAAAACTGGTTTTACTTAGGCACAATTTGCCACTTTTCCACGCCCTTTTTTATCAATCTGTCAGAAAGTTCTATGAGAACTCATATCTATGAGATCATATCAAAAGGACTTCGTATACACATACATAATTTTTAGTCAATTTTTAAGTAATTCCTTTTCATTTGGAGGTTCTGTCTGTAAACTGATAAATCTTTTATTGATAAATCTTATAAATCTTATAGGTTTTCCTGAGTGCTTTCAATGCTCATATATATTTTTTAATTATTATACTAATTATATATAATTTTACTATATTATTATATCATATATATAACATTTTGATATTTAAAGGTTTTGGTAAAATTTAATTTAGAAGTATCGAAAATATCTTAGAAGGGTTTACATAAAATTATATTTGCTTATTTATTTCACATTTCTATCCATACAGCTAGACATTGCACAAAACCAATATACTCCAATCAGGTTGCAAGCGAGCATTAAAACAGTGGCAAACGGTGCTGGGAACCGGTTCGCGAACGTTTCTATGTTAGTGGTCAAGGTCTAAGGAGCAGCAGACACTCGGACAGTGGACAATAAAAAGTAAAAAAAACAGAGAACAGACAACAGAATGCAGTCAAAGCGGAATAAACAATAACAATGAACAGAGCAGCAGAAGCAATTCAAAAATAAATGCGAAAAATTGGAGTCAAAACGAGAGCGTCCAGAATTGCATAAACAACGAAGTTGTATATATGTACATAAATGTATATAGCTTAAATATATGCATAATATATATATATATATATATATATATATATATATATATATATATAAATATATATACCAGCCGTATTAGCGCTGTTCTAAAAATAGAATTGGAGCATTATCAGGGTGACTCTGTGCAGCTACTACTAAAAGCTTTTTATTAAGCTTAAGCTAACTGAACAGTTAATAAATTTATTTATTTGATTTTGTACTGATATAATTTTATTTTTATATATTTGAAAAAATTCTTTATTTTCTAAATATTTTGTAAAATTTTCAATTCTAAATTATGAAGAAGATATATATACATATATATATATATATATTTATTTATTTATATATAATTATTATATATATTTCGATTACCAAAATTCCAATAAGTTATCAAAGTTATCAAAGAAACCACAGAATATTTATTAAAGTCCTTCTCACGTTGGCTGATAAAACCGAACTTTATTCATGCTACTTGAGCTATAAGAACTAAATACAAGTTAGTTAGGATATATGTATATTCATATATATATATATATGCGAAATGCTGTATTTATATTTATATTTAGAAAATATATTTAGAAAATATAAAAAAATTTCAATTTATGACTGCAAATTTTACATAAATTGGGCATACAAATTTATATAATTTTTATTTTTTTTTTAATACCAAGAAATAACCAATTTAAAATCGCCAGTAAATAAAAATAATTGGAAAAGTATTTAATATACAAATAAAGTCGTTTGCTTAGGCTCATCTGTTTGAATTATATATTTTATATTTACTGAAGCACCCTAATGATGGCATGCAACACGGTTGCAGTGCAGCCATACATAAGTTTGTTTGAGGGACAATCGCGAGTGTGTTTGTGTGCCACAAAGGGTTGCCAAACCACTTGCCTTATATACGAGAAATGATCACAAAATACAACAGCAAAAAATAAGAAATAAATAAAAGCGGGCTGCAAAAATCCCTATATTGAAATTTTTAGCAATGCGAATACATAAAATACATACAAACTGTCCGCCTGCTGAACGAAAAACTGGTTTCTTTTATTGATTACGTTGCAAGGCTCTGCCGTCGCTCAGCCCGCTCTTTGAGCAGTAGCCAAAGGCTGTCTTATCTTATCGAGAGAGGCCAAGTTCTCGGAACAAACACCTGAACTTCAAATCGAGACGCGAATCGTCTAGCAACTGCTGCATTATTTGTCACAAAATTTCAGCTGTCAACTGTCACTTCAAAGTGGGCCTGCAATAAAACTTGGTGTGTGTGAAGCGGCACTTAACACGCACAACAACAGCAACAGCAACAGCAACAACAACAGCTTCATTAAAATTAATTAATGCCTGGGCACACACTCACACACACACACACATGCAACAAGGACCAGGGTGCCGAGCGCAACAATAGGTGTCAAAGGGGGGAAGCTTGCCATCATTAGGCGCATATCAGTTTTTTCGGAGTTTTTCTCTTTAGATACACTTACCAGATACAGGTGTATTATCATATTGTCATAGCTTAGCCGCAGACTTTTAAATGTATGTCAAAATTTTTATATATATTTCAACTATATCAACTTCAAATCGAGATGGATAAATGGTAAGTTATGAACTATGAGCTATGAGCTAGGAACCATGAGCTATGGGCTATTAGCCATGTGCTATGTACTACGAGCTATGAGGTATGAGGTATGATCTATGATATATGAACTAGGAACTAGGAATTTGGAACTATGAACTAAAAACTAAGGACTAGGATTGAAAAACAAGAAACGAAGAATGAAGAACTAAGAACGAAAAAACTAGAAACTAAGAACCAGAAATTAGACACGTGGATGTAGGTACTAGGAACTAGGAACTTGGAACTTGGAACTATGAGCTGTGAACAGTGAACTGTAAACTAGGAGCTCAGATCTAGAAAGTAGGAACTAAGAACTAAGAACTAGGCGCTAGGATTGTAAAACTATGAACTAAGGAACTGGGACTAGAAAGTCGAAACTATGAGCTATGAACTAGGAACTTGAAACTATGTACTATGAACTTTGAAATCAAAATGCTTGTAAGAAATAATTGTTTTATAATAATGATATCTAAACTTCTTAGGGAGCACTTTCTACACGTCTGAAAGAAATTAGAAATTGAATCAAATAAAATATTTTTGTAATTTTATTCAATACATTTTATAGTATAAAAATTCCCTGCATTTCAATATGCCAAATAGAGTATAATGTAGTCAACCTCAATAAAAATATTAGTTTCGTTCTTTTTTTTTTTTTGAACCGAAAAAATATTCACAAATTAAATTAAATGAAGTGAGTGTGAAAATGTTGTTGGTGGGGGCAAAGAAACGACTGAAAAGCCACACAGAAAACATTAAACATCCGAGCAGTGGGCAGGGCCTAAAGGAAATACGCTCAAGTGATTTTCATACCAAAGTTGTTGTTGCTGTTGACTGTTGATGTAAAATCAAGATAAGCAAATTGTTGCCGAAAAAAATGTGAGCACAAAGGAAGCGATTTGGACATTTTAATGATGATAGAGCATGACACAGAATAAATGAAAATAAAATCCATTTAAATTGTACAACTAAATATATATGTATGTATACAAATACACGCATATACCTCAAGCATACCTGAGGTATAAGAGCAGTGCTTTCCAAGCTGATTATAAATATGTCAGCTATATTTAGGAATGCATAACAAGTATCTTATCTATATACTGTTAGACATTTTTAATTTAACCTTTATTTCTTAAGTGTGTAATGAATAACCCGTTATTTTATAATTTTTTTTTTGTTGATTCGTGCGTAAAAATTTTAAGCAACTCATTTTCAGTTAATTGTTTTGTTGTGGAGCAAAATGCATGTCAGCTAGAATCTTAGTCTTAAGTTAATTAGCTCAGCA